TGTTCTACAGTTTTCTACAGAAATATTGTACATCTTTTATTAGTTCATTCTTACACATTTAATTTTTTATACAACAGTAAACAGTACTGTCATGGATTGAACTGTGTCCCCCAAGGTATGTGTCAACTTGGCTAGGCCATGATTCCCAGTATTGTGTGGTTGTCTTCCATTTTGTTATCTGATGTAATTTTCGTATGTGTCGTAAATCCTGATCTCTGCCTGTGGTTAGGCAAGATTAGGTTATGTTAAAGAGGATTAGGGTAGGATGCAACACCCTTACTCAGGTCACAGCCCTGATCCAATGTAAGGAGTTTCCCTCAGTTTGGCCTGCATCATCTTTTATCTTACAAGAGATAAAAGGAGAGAAAAACCAGCAGAGAGAGAGGGACCTCACTACCAATGAGAAAGAAGAGCGCGACCTTTGGACCTAGGCTTCCTGAGCTGAGAACATCCTATACTCTGAAGGAAGAGAGATGTCAAGCCTAAGGAAGATCACCCAGAAGTAGAAGCTCAAAGAGACAAAGACCTTCCTCCAGAGATGACAAAGACAGAAAGCCTTCCCCTAGAGCCAGCAACTTAAATTTGGACTTCTAGCTTCCTAAACTGTGAGAAAATAAATATCTGTTTGCTAAAACCATGCACTTGTAGTATTTCTGTTATAGGAGCACTAGATAAGTATATTTTAAAAAATTTACTATCTAACAGTTTTGTTTTGTTTTTTTGCTAGTATATAGAAGTACAATTCTTGTGGGGGGCTAGCAATCTAAATTCTAATTCTAAAAATTGATATAGAGATTATTTTGTATTTTTGACATACACAATCATACTAACAGTTTTATTTCTGTCTTATCTCTTTTTTTTCCTTATTCTACTACACTGAATAATTCTTACAATGTAATATTGTAGAGAAATGGGAATGATCTTGCTGTTATTCCTAATCTCAAAGCGAGTGCTTTTGTTTCACCATTGAGTACAATGTCTTCTACAGGCTTCTGTTATATACCCTTTTCAGATTAAAGACATTCTCTCCTAGCGCTGGTTGTGCTAAGTGTTCTTTGAAATCATTAATGCATATTTAATCTTATCAAATACTTCTATGAATCTGAGATGATCATATGATTTTTCCCCTTATGTTTTAGTGTGGTGAATTATACTGACTGCATTTTGAATATTAAACTACTTTGCATTTCCATAATAAATCCAATTTGGTTATGATGATTAATTTTTAAATATAGTGATGGATTTGGTTTGCTAAAATATTTTGGGAAATTTTGGAACTACGTGCGTGGTGAGACTGTTCTTTAATTTTCACTCTTGTACTGCTTTTGTTGGGATATGGTATAAAGGTTATGTTAGTCTCATTAAAATAAATGAGGAAGTATATCTGCTTTTCCTATTCTCTGGAAAAATTTAAGATTAGTATTATTCCTACTTTATAAGTTAAGTGAAACTTACTGGTGAACCTACCTGGGCTTGAAGTTTCCTTTCTGGGGAGGTTTTTAATTATAGATACTATCTCTTTAATAAATTTACTCAACTTTCTGTTTCTTCTTGTGTCAATTTTAAGTTATATTTTTCTAACTGTGCATTATCATTCGTATTTTAAAATTAACACCAAATTGTTCATATTATCCTCTGAATGTCTATAAGATTTGTGATGTCTCCTTTTGTATTTCTTTTTTGCACTGGTTATTTATGCCATCATCTCTCTCTCTCTTTTTTCTGATTAATCTTACTAGGGGTTTACCAATTTTGTTACCCTTTTCAGACTTAACTTTGGTTATTATACATTTGTACTGCATGCTTTCTATTTTATCAACTTCAGCTCTTTATTTCCTTCTTCCTACTTTCTTTGGGTTTATGTTATTTTCCCCCAACTTACTGAGATAAATGCTGAACTCATTGATTTTAGTTTTTTTCCTTTTATAATATATGCATTTAAAGTAAAGAATTTTACTGTAAGTATGGCTTTATCTGCCTCACATAAGATTTGATATATAATATTTTCATTATTAGGAAATTTTCTAATTTCCATTATGATTTGTTTTTTGATCTATGAGGTATTGGAAATGTATTTCTTAATATCTAAACATGCAAAGATTTCCTAGTTATCATTTTACTGCTGATCCCTAGATAATTCACTTAGGTCAGAGACCATACTCTGTATGATTACAATTCTTTCAAATTTGTTGAAACTTTTTTGATACCAGGTATATGGTCAATGTTTTTAAACGTTCCATGTGTACTTGAAAAGAAAGGGCTCTGCAGTTGGCTGCAATGTTCTAAAACATGTCCATTAGATCAATTTTCTTAATCATGTTGTTCAACTTTCTACATGCTTATTGTTTTTCCCTCAGCTTGTTCTATAAATTACCGCAAGAGGTATATTAAAATCTCCCACAATGTTTGTGGGTTTGTCTATTTTTCCTCTTAGTTCTGATTACTTATTTTTTCATATGTTTTGAGATAATGTATAATTTATTTTATCTTTTGTATCATTATAAAGTCATATTTTTATCTTTAGTAAATTCTTTTCATCTTAAAGTCTATTTTATCTAATAGTAATCTATCTCAGACTTCTTTAGGTTTGAATGGTATATTTTCCCATCCATTCATCTCTCCTTATATTTAACAAGTATCTCTTTTAAAAAGTATAATTGGTATTTTAAAACCCAGTCAACTGAGTTTCTAACTAAAACATTTAGGCCATTTACAATTAATGCAATTACTGTAATACTATGTTTTAAATCTACTATATTTTTAATGCTCTATTTGTCCTCCTGTTCCATGTTCCTTTTTCTCTCTTCTCATGTATTCTTTTGAATTGACAGAATATTAAAAAAAAATTTCCCCCATTAACCCTTCTATTAGTTGGTAGTTACTATTTTTTTATTATTTCAGTAGTCACTCTAAAAGTTGAAATCACTGAATAATAAAAATCTAATAATACCTTCTTCCATATAATACGAGTGTCTTAGAACTCTAACTCCTTTTACCTCCCCCATGATTTATACACTCACTTTGTGGTATATTTTTAGTTACATACATATACATTCTAAATCTCAAATCATTTTTATAGTTATATATAGTCAGTGTTCATGAGAATTACCTATATATTTACTAGGATTTTTTTTTTCTTTGTATTCTTCCCTGCATCTGTAACTTCCCATCTGGAATAATCTTCCTTCTACCTGAGAAACACTCTTTATCATTTCTATTAGTGAGGGTATACTGGTGGTGAACTTTACCAGCTTTTATCTGAAAATGCCCTCATTTTAAAGGATATTTGCATTGGGCTTAGAATTCTAGATTGACACTTATTTTCTTTAAGTCTGTAGAAGATATTGTTCTGCTGTCATCTGGCTTTCAGTGTTGCTGCTGAAATGTTAGCAGTCAGTCTAATTGTTGATCCTTTGAAGGCTATCTATTTTTTTCTGGCTACTTCCCCATTTCTGTCACTGGTTTTCTACAACTTCAGTATGATGTATCTAGATGTGGATTTGTTTTCTGTTTATCATGGTTTGGATTCATTGGGCTTCTTGAATTTTTTATATCTTCCATAATTTCTGATAAGCTGTCGCTCATAATTTCTTCAAATACTATCTTTAACCTTTCTTCTGTCTCCTTCCTCCCGGAACTCAAAAAAAAAAAAAAAAAAAGTATATGAGAGCTTCTCCCTTTATCCTCTGTATCATTTATCCTTCTATATGTATACTGGTTCTTTATTTTCTCTTTACGCTTCATTCTGAATTTTTTTATAACCTACAGGTAGTCCTTGGGTTATGAATATCCGACTTATGTACAACCACAGTGCAAATCAATCCCCGTAAAGCCCATTATATTAAAATTTTGAGGTATATACAATGGTTCATGATAACAAACAGGTGCTACTTTGCAACACACATGAAAACATTATTATTATTGTATTATTATGTTAAAGATGTTTTAGTGTATCTAGAAGTGTTTCCTTAATGTTTTTCATGCATAGAAAAGTATACTGTATACTATACACAAAGACAAACATTTGACTAACTGACATTAGATGTGAACTGTACCTAACTGTTCTGACTTACGTACAAATTCGACTTAAAGACAGACTTAGGAATGAAACTCGATTGTAATCCAGGGACTACCTGTATCTTACAGTTCAGTGGTCCTCTAATTCAATGATACCTAATCTGCTGTTAAACATATCCATTAGATTCTTAATTTTCATTGTATTTTTCAGTTCAGGAATTTCCATTTCTTTTTCAAATCTGCTATGCCAATTGATATGGCTTCTCGTTTCCTTCTAAAATTTTCAAGCTTGTTTTTAACTCTTTGAACATAACCGCCATACCTGTTTTGAGTCGATGTCTGATAATTCCAGTATCTGGAGACTTGCTGTGGTGCTTCTTGCTTACAATGTCTGGTCCTCTTTGATTATGTGTTAGATACTATATTTGAAACCTTGAGGCCTAAACTGATGTCATCTTTCTCCAAAGAGGATTTGTGTTTACTTTTATTATGTTCCTAGGGACAGTATCAATCTGAGATCATCTTAATCCATGCTCACAGTTTGACATTATCTGGGCCACTTATATGACTTATATGTAGTCGAAGGGATAACTTGGTTATTCTGGTTCACTCTTACTCCTAGGGTGCATCCCTTAAGATTTCTGGCCCAAAGAAGGGAGTAGTTTCACCAATGTCCTCACTCTTTGCAGGCCCAGCACTCAAATTTTTATCCCTGCAAGGGTACAAAAATGCAGTTCAGTGTCTCAGCTGCCTTTTTCTGCATGGCACAGGAATGTGAAAACTAGAGAACTATCCTGACTAACATTTTAAAATCAAAAGATCTTGGAAAGTAGCTTTGGTCAATGTAGATACAGCTATGGAGTAGATAACGTAGTTGAAGTTAAGAGATACTCAAAATTCATCACATCATTAATAAAACAAAGAAGGTTTTGAGTAAAACAGGTGGTAATTAAAATATTAGAAAAGCATCTGAAAAAGCTAACATGATAAAATTATCAAAATGTTCATTTGCTTTCTCACCATTTTCTGCCAATGGAGCAAGAACTTCAAAAATCATCTCCCTCTTATCATGTTCTATTTGTTTCTTGAAGAGTTTTACCAGCTCTTCTGCAATGTTTGTACTGGCAAACTGTTCTTTACTCGACTCTGCAAAATAGAAAACTTAGAGTAAGCAAACAATATTAAACTCAGAAATTGTTTCCTATTACTTTCAGTGTTTGGTCATTTTGTACCATAACTCATAAATATAGGAACAATCGAATCCATAATACAATGCCCTTGAAACAGAAAAATATCTAAGGCTTTAGAGAAAAAGTTCTGACCCTATTATATTCAAGGGTATAAAAAAAAAGTTCACTTGTATAACATATAGTAACCATAGCAACAATAAAAGTACTAAATTATAAATTCATACTTTCAAAGCTTTTAGTCAAAGAAAAAAATTACTTACAACAGACTGCATTTTATTTGACTGAATTAAATGTGACCTATCTTATCTTTAGTATTATTAAAGTGGTATGCTTTTGCACTGTTCCTGGCATCCCTATTATTAAAGGCCGATTCTTCACATGTATTTGAGATCTCATTCCTTTTTGCTTCTTTAGCATCTCCAACCTTTCCTCCTTACTCTAAAGGCTCACCAACAGCATTTAAATATATTTTAGTATTTCTCACATTAAACAATATCAAAACAAACACACTCCCTCTACTCCACTCCTTTCTTCAACTACCACTCAATCTATGTTCACTTTACAAATTTCTTGACAGAACTGTCTTCACAGATTGTATACTTTCTTAATTTACATGCATCCCTATGCCCATTTCAAATTAGTTTCGGTCCATCTCTAAACTAACCCTCAGTTTCCTTTTCCACTAGACCACTATAAATTCTAGTTCCTTGGGACTTGGTCCTTTGCTTTCTTACCTTCTCAGTACTTATTCTCACCCTAAGCAATCTCTCTTCCATATCATCAAAAAGCATCTATATGTTGATACATAATTATATCCCTGGACTCCAGGCTACTTATTTAATTCTCATTTAACATCTCCACTAGGATCTCTCTCTAGAATCCCAAACTCAGTATACCCAAAATGGAATTTTGATTTTTCCGTGAAATCCATTCCTCCTCAAGGCTTCCTTAACTCTGTAAATGACTACACCATCTGTCTATCTATCTGCACCAGTAGAAATCTGGGAGCCATCAAGGTCTATCAATCAACTCCCAAAACAGGACTGGAATCCATTCCACTCTCTCCAATTCTCAGAATTTCTTTGGCCTCATCAGGTATCCTACTAATTTTTCTAGGATAAGTTTCTCTCAGAGAATTCTGACCTAATCCAATATAGACTGGCTGCTCCCTCTGTTTGGGGGCACTGCTGATATCCTGGAATCCCCCATTATCATTATCTTGATGGATCCTTTTACCATTTTACTGTGTTAGATACCCTGTTATCTATGTCCTTTCTCTTCCGTTTGTTTTGTTTTGGTGAAGACAATCTCCAGGACCTTCCTGAGAAAAGGTGGATAGAAGGTATTTTGAAATCCTGACTGTCTGAAAATGCTCTTTCTCACCTAGAGTCTATGTCTCTAATTTAGTCCTTTACTACAACACATTACTTTCTCAGATTACCAATTACTATAATGTGTAATTATATGCTTAATATAACTGTAAATTCAGTTAATAAATATCAATGTCACCTACTAAAATATAGGCTCCTTGAGGGCAGGGACAGTGTTTATTACACTTTAACCACCAAAACACAGAACACAGTATAATGCCTGGTACACAGCAAGTGTTCAAAATAAATTTATTGATTGAATGAAAAAATAAATGAATACTAGAATTAGATTCTACTCCCTAGTCTTTGATGAATCTCAGTGTCAATTATCAGATAAGAAATGTTGTGAACTCCACTTTAAAAGTGGAAGGAGAAACATAAATCTTAATGTGGCACAATACAGTTTTGATTCACTCTATGATTATACTACTTTCAGTATATGCACCAGTAGATCTATGCCCAAATGATGAAAATCCACTTCAATACTTTAGTATTATTCCTTAGTGCCATAAAAAACGGAGATCTTTTCCCATAAGCTACCTAAACCTTCGCAGATCATACCCCGCAATTGTTAATACACCCTACCCTAAAAGGAGGTTAATTTGAACCAAATAGGGATGATTTAATTCCTGTACATTTTGAGTTGCTCCTCTGTTTCAGACAATTCCTCAATTTAAATGAATTTCAGAAGCATAAAATCATAGGTGAAGTAGACAGATATCATCACTTATCTAGTTACAAGCTCTTACTCTTCTTTAAAGTAATAGTGTTAACACTCTTATCAATCCATATTTTATTCCTCCAAACATTTATTAAACTGAAACAAAATCACTGCTGCTATGTAACTCAGGCCCTCTTTGCCAGCACAAGAAATAATGCACCGTGATTAGTACAGGAATTAAAGAACAAAATAATCTGTACTAATCCTGTAGGCGGACAGAGAGAAAAGACAGCATGAAGCATGATTTGGACATAATATCCGAATTAAATGTCATGGATTCTTAACAGGCCATGCAGCAAGAAGTCTCATTTTCTAAGGTTGTATTTTTATTAGTTATACACGCATCTACTTTAAAGAGTTATTTAGTTCTAATACTTACATAGTTTCCAGTCCCTTCTCCCTAATTCTTCTTCCTCAGAAGCAAGCACATAAAGCTCTTTTAGTTAATTCACTGGATTAACTATAAGGATTAGGACCCTATTTACCTCACAGGGCCCCTGTAAAGTGAGGTTTAGTACAGATCCAGGACCCTCTTTTATAGTAAGACTCCTATGACTAAAATCTCTCAAGGTCACCCTTCTTTAAAATTGTTCTTATACTCATTTCACCATTAGATGGTTATAATCACTAATCCTTTCTCCTTGATTCTCAGTTGAGAAATGGATGATTATAGTTTATTGGTGTGGAGTGAACCAACAACTCTTCCTGTGAGATTAAGCAGTTCTTCAGTTCCTGAAGTTGGAACATTTACAAGCTTTAGGCACACAAACATAAAAGCCATGAAAAGGTCCTCAGTGAGCAACTGCAATTATGTAAGTTCTCATATAGCAAGGACTACTACTTTTTCCTTGCTTGGTGCTTGCTTTTTCTCAAGATAAGGTGAGATAAAATTCATCAGTCCTAGCTTTTTATATACTCTCCTAAAACTTTTTTTAAAAAAGAAGAGGTCTCCTTAGAGTGAAGAATGACTTTGCTGTAGAGTTTATATTCTAGAGCACCACTGTCCCACAGAAATATACTGAGAGTCACAAATGGGAATCACAGATGTAATTTTAAATTTTCTAGTAAACACACTAAAAAAATACATATAAAAAGAAACAGGAGAAATTAATTTTAATGATGTATTTTATTTAGTCCAACATATTCAAATTATTATTTCAACGTGGAATCAAAATAAAAAATATTGGTGAGGTATTTTTTATTTTTTTCATACTAGGTCTTTGAAAACCAGGGTGTATTTTATACTTAAAACACATCTCAATTTGGACTATCCATATTTCAGTGCTCAACAGCTATATACAGCTGGTGGCTATTGTACTGGATAGTGTCATTCTAAGGACTACTCATACAGAAATGTAAAATTAAATGACTTGCATGGTATGACTTTGATAAAACTGAAGGCACATTAGGACAGATTTGAAACAATCAAGTTTATGTTTCTGTTACAAAGTTATAAACTATCAATGTGGTACTATAATAGGATTTGTCTTATTTCTATCAAATATACTGTACACAAACGCCTACATTTCATTTTAATAATGGAAAATAATAACCTTGTGAAAGAGTAAAGAAATGTTCTTTTATTCTTGGTCTCACTCAAATGATGGAAAAGAAAACTTGTGTTAGAGACTAGTATGGAAAAGAAGAAAAGCTGAAGAGGAGAGAAGACATACACACACAAATACCAAGAAATAGACCGTGGAATATGAATAACTTTTAAAAATTAACTCTGATAAATAATCCTTATTCCCTTAATTAAAAGTAAAGTATTGAAATCAAAACTTTAGTGTATACTGCATAGGAGCATAGGCTTTTCAGTTAGAAAAACCAAAATTAGAGTCCTAGTGCTTTCATTCCTTTATTTACCAAGTGGGGTTAATTAATAGAACTGATTTATTTGGTTTCACTATCCCCATCAACACCATCTGGCTTCACTAACCCCATAATAAACAATGTATTATGAACACAAGGTGCCCTAGTGGCACAGTGGTTAAGCAATCAGCTGCTAACTGAAAGGTCAGTGGTTCGAACCCACAAGCTGCTCCGCAGGAGAAAGATGTGGCAGTCTGCTTCTGTAAAGATTTACAGCCTTAGAAACGCTATGGACAGTTCTACTCTGTCCTACAGGGTCACCATGTGTCAGAATTGACTCGATGGCAACAAGTTTTTGATATATGGATTTCCAGGTTCTTAACATCCAAAGGAAAATTTCTAAGTGCATGAGTAAGTTAATAACATTTGTGGTTCATGACTAGGACTTACCAAGTTCTGCTAAATTGCCAAATGCAACAAGACACATTTCTGTAAGAGCTGCATTTTGGCAGTGGATGCCCAGTAATTTCACTAAGGTAGGAATAACACCCATATTGATAAGCTGAGCTTGAAGGGAATCTGTAAAATAGAAAAAAAAAAGTTCACATATCGAATGAACATTAGTAAGAAGGAAACATCTCTTAGTCTCCCTTTTTGAGAATATTTTGAAATAGCAAACTCAGTGCTATTTCAATTACAGTAAATGAAGTCCATTCATATGATCTTGAAAATTTTAAAGTTCAAAATGAGTTGAGTCTTGACTCTTTTCAACGTCCCAAAGCAATTTAGAAATAAAAACAATTCAATTTATCAAATCATTATTATTTTTTTAAACAAGGTCTGATACCTTTTATATCAGGCTTTAAAAATGCATAAATAAACATTATCACTGGCTTTTAAATGAAAAAGTTAGGCAAAGTAATATTTGCATTAAAGGAAATCACAGAGTATATGAGAAGCATAGGAAAAAAGCAAGCTTAATAAAGACCAAGAAAGGAGAAAAAAGTCTTAGAATCCCTTAAAAGTTTCTTCATAACAAAGAATGAAAAGTATATAATAAATACACAAAAATTATTGGTTCAGAGTACTTGCAAGCAGAGAGTTCTTTGATAACTGTTAGGAAGAATATAATTTTAACAAGAAAAAAGCGAGTTACTTAAAATATTTTTCTATTCATAGTTTTATTTAATTATACTGACAGATATTCTCAGTGAAAGAAATGAAAATTTGGCTTGAGAGGTGAAGAGAATGAGGTCAACATAGCCTTGTCATCATTGCTTGCCTTCATTTTCTAAGCAACTAATTGGTTTTAACGTATTAAACAGGCCTTGGATTTCCACAATGGTTCTTCATGGACAATGATAAAATACCTGCAGCAAAGTTGAAGGGAAATAAACCAAAATGAAAACCAAAAGAATTGCTTCTTGAAGGTAAGAAAAAAGACATAAATACAAGTCTATGCAAAACACTATTACTGTCAATAACTGCTTCATCCAAAGATACAGGAATGTTCTTTCAGTATTTTTTTTCTCTTTAAAATTATATGCCATTTTCAAGCTAATAGTTTTCTCCAAATTCTTTTAAATTACCTATTAGGAATCTAAAGACAAAATCCTGTTTCTTACGAGACAATTCTCTTTATAGCATGCACCCTTTTAAGAGAGTTCTCTCCTACTTATCTTCTTATCACTTTTCATGGTTAACTTGTAGATGAAGAGGTTGTTTGGGGATTATCAGACAATAAAATTATGGCAGGGTTGAGCTGCCTCACAGGCCAGATATTACTTGTCTGGTGGTCTTTATAGTTGATTTTTCTGCTTTTAGAGTGAAGTATGAAGAGACAGCCAACAGAAACTTATTGCTCCTGAAAACTGATGAGTGAGTAATTATGTGTAATTACCTGGTTAGATAGGGGTACATCTATACTAGAAAGAGGTCTATTACCAAAACAAGAATGAAAAATAGGTCTGAGAAAAAAGGAAAGTTGCATTTAGAGTTTGAATAGTCTAAAAACAACTTCAAATTTTGCAATGGAATCATAAGTTCTAAAAAGATAAAAATAAAAGAATGTAATGTGCTCCATTAAATGATCTGTTTTTCTGCTTTTGATGGTAAATATTTTTCTTAAATACACAATTCACCAAATAATGGTTCATGATACTTGCTTTATCTTACAGGCAAAATATTTGTATTATATTATAGGATATAGTATTAAATATTATATTGGCAGAATACTTGTATTACTGGTTATAGATTTTATAATGATCATGCACAAAAGAACTGACCAAGTTAGAAATTATTTTGATTACTTACCAGTAGCTAGAGTTCTGTATTACTAATTCACCCCTGCAGATCCTTGTTCTTTAGCACTATTCTTATTTATATGGTTATTCATTTATTTTGACTACCTCTTCAAATACTGCAGAGCTGTTGAATTATTAAATTTTAGGTATGTAAGCGTGAGCACTAGCGCATGCATTGAGTGTGAGTCAAACTCCACTATATGTCTGCATATATGTAAGCATCACACACCCCCTCAGTACTGCTGGTACAAATTATAAAAATCCAACAGTCCAGGGACATCAGAGGATTAACAAATTTTGTGAAAGAGATAACCCAGCAGGGGAATGCCACTTTGAAGACAATACTCTTCATGTTCTCCTAACTTGACTTCTCTACCACAAACGTCCCATTTTTAAAATATTACAAATTTTGGTTCCAGGGAAAAGAGGGACAAAATATTAAGAAATGTTGCAGAACAGAGCTTAATACAATCTTTGGCACAGAAACTGAAACAGTAATATTTGATGTTGTGGCAGATCAGGAGAAAAAGTAGCACAGCCAAATGGCATATGGTGTGAATTGCCATAATTCATGAAAATCATGTTACTTTGTGAAAATGTGTTTTAAAGTTACTCAGGAGCCAAATTAATTATATACTCACATACAACACACATACCACACACAAATAAAGAGAAAAATATGTAGTCATTCAATTGGACGCTCATTTTGGACCATTTAGGTGCTTTCTTTTCTATCTCCTTCCATGATGCTAACAAAAACAAAAATTATACTCAATTCTACATTGTTCATACCTATTGAAGACAAGTCATTCTCCTTGGATAATGAAGGCCCAGAGGAGAAAAAAAGTTCTACTTAAACAAGATGATAAAAATTTGTATGTCTTGGATAAACAGAACAGTGGTTCTCAAAGTGTGGTCCATGGATCCCTGGGGGTCCCTGACAACTTTTCAGAGGCTCACAAAGCGAAAACCATTTTCAAAAAAGTGGCAGGATATTACCTGCGTTTTTTTTTTTTTTTAACTGTCTTGACATTTGCACTGAGGATCCTAAACCTATGGTAAGTAAAACTGCTGGTGCCTTAAGCATGAATCAAGACAGTGGCACCAAATTGTACTAGCAGTCATTATACATTTTTTACCATCACATACTCACAGTAAAACAAAATGCATTTGTTCTCAGAAAATTTTTGGAAAATTTAGTTATTTTTCACAAAAAAATGTTATTTTATGCTAACATAATGCGTTTATTATTATTTTAAAATGCAATACTGAATAATTAAAATAATTTCTCCAATTTCAAATACAGTAAATGTCAATAGCTATAACTCATATATATACAAAGTTCTTTGAAGTCTTCAATAATTTTTAAGAGTATGAAAGTGTCTTGAGACCAAAAGTTTGAGAACCGCTGTCCTAGAGGATAGCCTAATTTTTACCGGAGGTTGAAAAAAAAAAACAGAGAGAAACATGGAAGAGATTCTGAAGTCTGATGAAGTTCTTGACAGATGTGATAACAGGAAAGAAAGAAATAAAATCTAAAAGCATGGGAGGTATCCTAGATTTTGGTGCTCAGATATTTTGGGAGAAATTACAATAAAAAACCACCTGAATATCTCATTTTGTCTTAGTAGGAACTCTACACTTAAGCCTAGGAAAATATTCCATGATTGGATCTGTTTACCTATTTCAGTTACAACTATGTATACTATCATTAAGAAATTTATTTTGTATTAAGATGCAGTCCTGTTTGTGCGGTACAAACTGATACTAGTTCTCCTTATCACTGGAAGCAAATGTTTAATTTTGATCACTTTCTCCTATTGTCCAAAGAAATGGACTTCAAAAGGATTACAGCTGACGTCCATGCTATCGTGAGTGATATCGGGAATATGATTTTTAAATGAATGACTAACTGGAGAATCAGAAATAGTTCTAATCCTCTAAATACATTTGAAAGAGTAAGTGAAACAACAGCAAGACTGAGACTTTTACATCCTCAACAAATACCAGCAACTCCAGGGGAATGTTTATCAGAGCTCAACAAACACAACAATTCACAAAAATGCAACCCAGGCCCATACACAGCAAACAATTATATGTGTGAAAGACAGTCTTTAGACAGCACAATGTCATAAAAGTCTGAAGACTTTAAAAATTGCTCCTGACATACATCACAGACAAATACTGACCAAAATAGTGAATTACAAAATTACATAATATCAAGATGGCACAGGCCCTACATGATCTATGGGAGGAAGAGGAAGAAAAGCACTGAGGGGGTGCAATACAGATGCGTATACAAAGAGATATAAGGCAATCAACACATGCGCTGGTGTGAACACTTACCTACCTACATTTGAATTTCAATGGTTCCAAGTTCTTCAGGTCACACTCAGGGAAACTCCAAAGAATGGAGATCTGGAGAGAAGATCTAAAGTTGAAGAACTTTTTCCCCCTGAGTTTTAAGTTTAATGTTTAAAACATTGGTATAGACTATAGGCCCAGAAAAGTATGCAGAGAATTCCAGTAACTCAGTTGAAGTTATGTTGATCAATTACTAAAAGCAATATACTTCTTAAGAGATTATAAAACATTTATCTCATTCCTAAGAAAATCCTCTTATAGACAATGTTATAAGGTTATTAAGATTATTGGTAAATAGAACTTAATGATGTAATGTGTCAAAGGTTAAGACAGACACACAATTCAAAATAGAGTTGCAACATTATATATATATGGTATGTACACTATTCAGAGTATATCCAGAACAATATTTCTATTTATAAATATAGGCTTGTACAAAAATCCCATTTACAGTCAAAGGAGTTATTCATAGCTGAAAAAAATGAAAACAAGCAAATGTAAGTCATGATGAGAGTTCTAATACAAACTGGCTAAAAATCATTTGGGCATAATAACAGACTGAAGAAAATTGCCCTTGGTTAATGGCTTATCTGGAGCCCTGGAGGCACAACGATTAAGAGATCCGCTGCTGACCAAAAAGTCAGCAGTTTGAATTCACCAGCCGCTCCTTGGAAACCCTATGGGGCAATTCTACCTTGTCCTATAGGGTCGCTATGAGTCAGAAGCAACTCAACGACAACAGGTATATTTAAATTTACCAAAAAAGATGTGAAAATTAGAAACTATGTAACAGTGAAGCAGAGCTTGCGAGTTTAAGCAACTTTTAGCTCTATAATTACACTGAAAACTGATTTAAATAAGCCACCAAGGAGATGATTAGTGGTTAAAAACTTTATAAAAAAGGTAAGTGCA